ACTTGAAGTCTGCAATTCACTTACATGCACAGCCACACCCAGAAGGAAAGAGACCCAAAACTATCCCACACCTCAAGTGGTGATGTATTTATATTATTTTCTTCCATTTCTTTGTTCTGCCATCACAGAGGGGAAAAAAAAATTACTTCATTGTTACTGGAAGGGATGAACCTAGAGGTGCTCCTTTGTAAAGGCAGAGGAATTGGCTGAATAAGAGCATAGGATTTAAAGGTGGAGTGAATAGAAAAGTTGGAGACCATTCAATTCAGCCTCCTCATTTAGCAGAGAAGAAAAACTAAGGCCTTCTACCATAACTGTCTTAGAATCTGATGCTGCCCAGTTCCCATCTCCGTCCTCCTGGACAAGCAGATCCTTGTGTTTCCTCCTACAATGTCCTTGCCACATGTCACACTGTGTGGCAGAGAGCAGCTCCCATCTCTGGTAGTAACAGGAGAAGCCTCAGGAAGAGCCCCCCACAGAGGTGCAAACGTGTTTGATAGACGTGTCTTTTCTTTTCTTTCCTAATGGCCTTTGTTTAGGACAGAATGAGCTACAGGCTTGTGATTCAGTCAGATGTCACTCTCTGTGTCCAGCTGGCAGGATGGAGGAAGAGCTTCCCAGGCCCGGTGCCAAGGCTTACTGACAGCCAAGTATTTGGAGCCTTCTTTATTTTGTGAAAATGACCACAGAGATTAGAATAAAGGGAATGGCTCAGACCAGGACCGTCAAGAGTTTATGTGCCCTAAGAATTTAAATTGCATTTAAGGGATTGTGAGAGGATAATGACAATGAGACCAATCATTTATTAAATATAGAGGCGTAATTAGCTGAAACTGTGCGTGGGGCAATTTCAATTAGGGGGAAGTGATTGTACGTTATAGAGGTGGCCAGGTGGTACAGTGGATGGAGCCCTGGAGCTAGAGTAAGACCACCTGAGCTCACATCCTGCCTCAGACACTTGATAGCTTTGTGATCCGGGCAAGTCACTGGGCTTTGGTTTCCTATTCTGGAGGAATGATAATAGCATCTGTCTTATAGGGTTGTTGTGAGGATCAGATGAGATAATAAGAAATAGAAGGTGCTTTGTAAACCACAAAGCACTATATAAGTCCTAGTGATCATGAATTTTATGATTATGTATTCTTGTACACTTTGGTTCCCTAGTCTAAGGGATGATAATAATAGCATCTGCCTCATAGGGTTGCTGTGAGGATTAAATGAGATAGCAAATAGCACTTTGTAAACCATAAAGCCCATAGAAGTACTGTTGTTATCCAGTCATTTCAGTCTTGTCAAACTCTTTATGACCCCATTTGGGGTTTTCTTGGCAAAGATACTGCAGTGGTTTGCCATTTCCTTCTCCAGTTCATTTTATAGATGAGTAAACTGAGGCAAAGAGGGTTAAGTGATTTGCCTAGGGTCACACAGCTAGTAAGTGTCGGAGGCTAGATTTGAACTCAGGTTTCTTGAATCCACGCCTGGTACTCTATTGCACCCCACCACCTAGCTGCCTACCAGTATGTGCTAGTTATTATGAATGTTGTAATGATAAATTCTCAGCCTTCACTTCTAAGGGGAATATATGGTCTAGAAGGGGGTGGCCATAGTGAACAGGTTTCCAGGTTTCCTTTCCTAGCCGTGGGAGCTCACCCTTGTGGGAAGAAAGTAAGACTCTTTCTTGGGTTGTCTTTCAAGAAAAAAAGCCTCATTAGTCCTGTATTATGTTCTGATTAAATATCATCATCATGGAAAGAGAGAAAGTTAGCACACTGGAAAGAGTGCTGGGTTCAAAGTCAGGAAATCTGGGCTATAGTTCTGGCTCTGCCGTTGACTAGCTGTGTGACTTTGGTCAAATTGCTGAACCTCTCTGGACTTCAGTTTTCTCATCAGTAAAAATGGATGACAGCTAAGGGCCTTCCAATGCTTAACCAGGCTGCTCATTAAGCACCTATTTGCATTTGTCACTATATTAGCCACCTTACAAATAGGGTCAGTTTCATTCTTTGTACATCGTGTCCTGCACGTAGTAGGTGCTTAATATCTACATGCTGATTGATTGATTACTGAAAATTAAAAACAAAACAAAATATCATCTCTGTCCCTATGTCTTTTCCAAAGGAGCAGGTTATAACACCGAGATAATGAGCAATTTTAGGTGAGCAGCGCTTTATGGGGTGGAGGTAATAGTTATTGAGAGTCCATGCAAAACACATTTTGAGGGCCAGTATGGAAGGACAGAAGAAAGAAAAGGACCAAGAATGATGACTTCTTCTGATAGACATGTCTATGGACCAATCACCATTTCTCTCTCCCACCTCTGCCCAATCCCCCTTTAACTACTATTTTAAGCTTTGTGAAGGGTGAGGGGGAAAGGCTAGAAGAGAGAGGGAAGAGAGATGTCCCATAGGTGCACCATTTAAAGCCACTTAGAAGTGAATAAAGGCATCAAATGAAGTGGAACACTGTTTCTGTCTCTATTTCTCCCTTCCCCCAACAATGGTACTTATGTGATGATCCATAAATCTACCAATCAACTAGCAAGCATTTACTGAGCACCTACTACCTACCAGGAGCTTTGCTAAGAGCTGGGCTGGGAATGCAAAGACAAAAATAAAACAGATTTTGCCCATGAGGAGTTTACATTATGTCTGGAACAGGGGAAAATTTAGTGACAATTTCTAAAGAGCAGGATTAGGTTGCCACTGGTTTCCGAGTGCCGTCTGGACTCATCCGGAGGGGATAGTAGTGAAAGTGCTCTGGATTTAGAGTCAGGAGACTTGAGATTAGAATCCCAACTGTGACATCTGGCAATTGTGTAACTATGGACAAACCATTTACCTTCTCTTGGCCTTGGTTTTCTCAGCTACAAAATGGGCATAGTAATTCTTGTACTATCTTTCTCCAGAGTAGTAACTAAGTAATTAAGTAACTAAGTAATTTATCCTAGGACAGAAATTTAGAAGGTGCTAACAGAATTTATACTCCAGCAGTGTAAATGAATTTAACATGTACCTAGCAGGAGCTAGTTAAACTCAGAAGACACCAGGTGCTTCTTTTCCCTTATGCTTACAGCCAGGGGTATGTGGAAGCCAGTTTCTAATTGTTAAAATGTCAGGGTGATATTTATACCTCAGAAATCAGCAAATGCTATAAGCCAGGATTTGATTTATTGTCTTGTTAATTATTTAGACTTAAAACAGTGATGAAAAAATTTTTAATAATAAAGGCTAAACTTAGAAGTCTGTCATACATACATTCTTTCCCCAGGGAACTGGTTGCTAAACATTCATCAGTACAGGTGAACTCTTCTCTCCATCCTCAGAAATATCCCCCACATTCCAAGGTCTCTCCTCACCCCAAGGTTGCATTATCCCTGAGGGAATGTGCTGTGTATAGATCAAACTACATTTAGAAAAAAAAAGTTATAGGATATCAGTGCTTTGGTGCCTGCTTCAGGGATAGTTAAATAATTGATGGGAGTGGGGGGAGTATAGGGAGAATAGAGCCCTTTCTAGATTAAAAAGTACACTTTACTCTTCTAGGTGGGCTTGCAATTTTTAGCTGAACTCAAGCCTACCAGTGCTATGGACTAAGGAATTGATGATTGACAGTTCTGAACTGAAGTGATCATAAGCTAGGCTCGTGTCTCCTAGTGTGGTGGATGGGTGTGAAGAAAGCAGAATTGGGGTAGTCTGGATCGATTATATCTTCCTGGAATTTCCTTTCTTTTGTTGTTGGCCTGATTTTCTATTGTCTCTATCTTTAAGGTTTTTGTTAGCCTGTCTGTTCACTTTTAAATAAAAAACCTGTATTACTAAGGGGAAAAAAAGTTCATGCCTTAGACCTTAGACTCTCAGGTCATCAGATGACAATCTCTAAAATGGGGAACAATGTAATGGAGTACTGGCCGATGACCACTCCATCCTTGTGAGCATGAACAGTGTGCTCTGTCTGACGCAACCCCCCACGTGGATTTCAGAGCATGCATAAGTGTTCTATAACTGCCTCTTGTCTGCTTATGGTGTGGCAAAGAGGGACCTTTTGGATTGGCTGCTAAACCAGAAATGGGTATGCACACAAAATCTACTAATCAGCCAGCCATATCATACTTTTCTTCTTGGTAGTGATCAAAGCTAGGTCTGTTGAAAGTCTTTGGGTAGGAAGAAAACAGTAGCAACAGCATCTTGCATTCAGCTGCCTACCTCCCCAGCCAGGTCAACACATGTTTATGAATACCTAGTATCTGCATTCTTTGTCTCTTTACAGCTGATCTTCCATTTTCTTGTGTCAAATATTGGAGATTGCTCTGACCTTGTGAGCTATGAAAGGTTGGATGGAAGGGGTACCAGAGGCTAGGAAAAAGAGTCCATATTAGAGTTTACTGGTAGCTAAACCGATTGAGGAATACCAATGGAATCCAGTTGAGCAGTGAATTGGACCTGGTAGCCAAGATGCCATTTTCTGGGGCAGCTTCATGCATTGGTCTCCCTGTATTTGGAAGTGAATTTGTTGGGACAAACGCTTCATAGCAATCACTTTAGGTCTGAGCCCTCTTCCTTGGGATGCCTAGTGGTATAAAGGAGAGTGGATGATGTATTTCTATTTCTGTTCTTGGTATATCTTCTCAGTAAACATCCCATTGTAAAAACTTAACTGATATTAATTGTTTAAATGGTATTGTTACACTAATCATTGGGTCAATCCAATGACATAAGGAAAATACTAACTGAGGGCTTCAGCCAATTGCATTAGAAAGGTCCCCTGCTACCTCTCAGAAGCCTGATGCAGATATAGCTAGCCAGCCCTCTGGGGATCCAACTCAGTGAAAATGGGAGCTGAGATAAGGACCTCCAGAGTTCACAGGCCACAATAAAATTATATATTTATATTACTTTACTTTCCTTATAACTTCTCTTTGAGTTAATTAGTATAAAAATTATCATCCTTATTTTACAAATGAAGAAATAGGCACAGAGAAGTTAAACGATTTGCCCATGGATAGTCATATCATTGGTGAGATTTAGATGGAAGACAAGAACCCATTTCTCCTACTCCAGGTCTTTCGAGGTCTTTCCCTGCTATAAGACTCATGATTTTATTAGTCATAGCCCAATGTAGCCAATGGTTTCTTTCTTTCTTTTCTTTTCACAAATACAGGTATCTATGTGACCAAGCAGTGACTTCAGCCTGTGAGCTTCATGGCAGTTGCATTTTCTCAGTGACTGCCAAACTCCAAGTAGCATCCCTGTGGAAATAGCTGTTGATCTCTCATTACTTAGAAGCCAAATGTTTGGGTGCATATTTTTGTTATTGCTCCTTCCATCTATGAAGTGGTGAACTTTTCGTAAGAATAATGACCTATTTTCTCTGTGGCCTGACTCTTTTGTTCCCTCATCTTGCCTTACAATAATTTCTGGAAAGATGCTGCTTTCCCAGCTGCAGTGAAGGTCATGGACTCCCTGTGAACTCCACAGCCACTGAGACACCAGTCTGGTAGGATCAGCAAATCTCTAGGGCCAGGAGGTATTTGTCTGTGGGATGGAGATAGAGGATCAGAGATTTTGAGCTGCAAGGAACCTTAGAATTCTCATCAATCCAACCCTCCTCAAATTACAGAGAAGTGAACTGAGGCACAAAGAGACTTGCTTGGAGTCACACAGCTGGTGTCTGAGGCAGGATTTGAACTCAGGTCTTCTTGACTCCAAGTCTGCCTTAGATACTATACCATCCTGCCTCTTTGAGCATTTTTGTTGTGTGTGCATATTGTATATGTGTGTGTTGTATGAATCAGTATTTGTAGTCTGTGGTCCCAGAGGAATATTCTTTCAGCTATATATCTGTTAGTAACCCATTTTTTACTTTGTCTGGTTATTTGGCACTATAGTCCATGGCCAGGAAATCAATGGGAATTGTAGAATCATAGAATTTTGAGTTGGAACAGATTCTCAGAGGTCATCTAGGTCAACACATATCTGAAGAGAAATTCTTCTACGATATCCCCCAGATGAGATTACACAGCCTATTGAGGAAGACCTCCAGTGATGAAGAATTCACTACCTGTCATGGTAGCCTATTTCGCTTTTGTGAAATACTAGTATAAGAAAGTTTGGGTGTTTTCACCCTTACATTGAATTAAGCTACTTCTGCAATATCTTCCCATTGTTCTTCCTTTTTCCCACCAGGGCAAACAGAATGAGTCTGAACCTTCTACATGAAAGTCCTCCAAATTCTTGAGATCAGCCATCAGGCCCCACCTAAGCCTTTTCTTCTCCAAGATGAACAGTTTCAGCAGTATACAAGTACTAACCATTGTACACGCTGGTTTTCTAGCCTCATCAACATCTTGCACAATATGAAGTTTTATCACTGACTTTCTTGAAATGGAGCAATGCTCAGAGCTAGGTACATATACTACTGATATGGCTAAACCAAATCATAGTACAATGGGGATATCAGCTCTCTTCTTTTGGATACTGTACTCAATGTGACTTGACTTGCATTCAATTTCTTTTTGCTGTCATGCCACATTATTGACTCATATTGAGTGACAGACTTGGGAAATGCATGTTGAGCTGAAAAGTTAATAATCATTACAGCCAGCATTTATGTAGCTCTTGATATGAGCCAGGCACTTTACAAACTTTATCTCATTTGTTCCTTACAACAGCCTTAATATAGGGGCTGTTATTATCCCCATTTTATAGTTGAGGAAACTGAGGTTGTGACTTTGTCAAGGTCACATAGCCAATAAGTTTCTGAAGCCAGATTTGGACTCAGGTTGTCTTGACTCTGTGCCCACAGCTGTATCCACTATGCGACCTAGCTATCTCTGAGCTTAAAGAGCCAATAATGGACCTATAGTTAATATAGCCTTTAAGTCTTTTACTCACGAGTAATTGTCTAATTGTGCCACCCTGTCCTATATTTGTGCAGCTGTTATTTTTTTTTTAGCCCAAATGTGAAACTTTGCATTTATCCCATGAAATCTAACTAGATTTGGTCCATCATTCTGGTCTCTCAAGATATGTTTAGATACTGATTCTGTTGTTCAAGGCGTTAGCTATATCTCTAAGTACATGGTGATTTAACAGAAGCCCAGTGTGGTCCTTCTAACAACTTAGCGACCAAGAGGGATTATACGCTGATGATTGCAAGCAGGCAACTATATCCTCTATACACCTACCTACCATTAAAAAAGTTTATTTAGGTGGTTAGAGGTATGATACTAACCAGTCACCAAGTTCTACTTCTGTTTTCCTTTTTTTTTTGAGGGAAAATTTGAATTTAAATCCTATCCCCAGACACTTACTAGATGTGACTGAGCAAACCTTAATTTCCTCATCTGTAAAATAGGGGATAATAATAGCACCCACCTCACAGCATTATTGTAAGGATCAAAAGAGAAACTCAAGTGGTTTTCCACTTCCTCTAGGACAAAATTTAACCTCCCTTGCTTGATATTTAAAACCCTCCACAATCAGGATACCTTTCCAGTTTTATTACAAATTCTTCCCCTCCACATACTGCTGTACTTGGCACTCCTCCTATGTTACCATTGCACACTTTGTCTGAGTCTACTGTGATTTCATAATGTCTGTCTTGAAATCTCTATGACTCCTAGTTACATGCAGGAGATTATAATTTCACTTTATAGAAGTTTGTAATTGCGACTTCTATCTTTCCTCACTCTAAAGAATGTAAATGAATCATCATTGCTTGCTGCAAAATAGATACATATACATATGTATGTATATGGACACACACGCATTCAAAATAGTGATAGGGACTGGACCTGTAATTTTATAGGAAATTCCCAAATGAGGAAGCTCCTACCAGTCACAAATTGTGACCTTTTCTACGACTTATAGCCTTAGAAGTTTTTGTATACCCAGCGCTTGAGTGACTTACCGAGTGTCACGTAGCTGGTAGGGAAGGGACTAAACATTTATATAGCACCTACTATGTGTCAGGCACTGTGCTAAGCATCTTACAAATATCTCGTTTATAATACAAGACACATTTATTAAAGCTTACTATGTGCCATGTACTGTCCTAAGCACCAGGGATATAAATAAGAAAAAGAAAGACGATCCCTGCCCTCAAAGAGCTTACAATCTAATGAGAGAAAGCAATACATGAAAAGAAGCTGGAGAAAGGCAGGGGAAGAACACCAGGAGGTACACAGCGCAGGTTCATAGCAGCTTGTTTTATGTGGTGGAGGAGGAGGGGAAGAGGGGAGACGAATCAGGATATGCCATCCTTATAGAGGAGGCAGTCCTCAAGGTAAGCCTTGAAGGAACCCAAGGATTCCAAGAGGTAGAGGTGAAGAGGAAGGGTATTTAAGACATGAGGGACTCCCTATGCAAAAGTATGGCAGTGAGAGATCTAACAATATTAAATTAGGGAATACTCACCACCTGAGGATTCATTCTAGTTTGAGGACTTCTGTGTAAGTTACTACATTTGCTGACAAAGACATCTGCAGATGAATGATTATGTAGCAGTATCTGTACTAGGAAGAGAAGGAAAAGACCCATGCACAAGACTTACTTAACTAACAAGAGATTTTGAAAAGATCATTTATACAGCCAATTGATGTCAAAGTGGATTTGGGAGCAGGACACTGCAGCCTACAATTGAGGTTGTGATAAGGCAGCACCAAAGCTAGCTTCCCAGTCACCCCAGTCTGAAACATGGAGTTCACACCGGGCAGAACTGAAGATGGAAAGTAGAGTGAGCCAGGAAGCCCCAGTACTGTGGTTGTTGTTGAATCATTTCAGTTGTGTCTGACTCTTCGTGACCCCATTTGGGGTTTTCTTGGCAAAGATACTGGAGTGGTTTGCCATTTCCCTCTCTAGTTCATTTTACAGATGAGGAAACTGAGGCTAACAGGGTTTAGTCACTTGCCCAGGGTCACACAGCTAGGAAGTGTGTGAGGCCAGATTTGAACTCAGGATGATTAGTCCTCCTGACTCCAGGCCCAATATTATCCACTGTACCACCCAGCTGCCTCAAAAGTCCTGCTGCCCTCAATAAAAGAAAACTTTGAATGAAGTTAAGTGCTCAACTCTTCAGCGTTCCAATCATAGGGGAGAGGAAGCTGAGGGAATCAACAACCCTTCTATGTAAATATTGTTATTATCTCATTTGGAGTTGAGGAAACTGAGGTAGACAGAGGTTAAGTGACTTGTCCAGGGTCACACAGCTAGCAAGTGTCTGAAGCCAGATTGAACCCAGGTCTTCTTGGCTTTAAGGCCATGCATGCCTACCATATAGAATATATAAATAATGGGGGAGACCAATCCTTTAAGTGTATGTAATCTGCAACTGTCTGCTATGAACTCATGCAGATGCTTAGGCAGCTTGCTTACAGAAAAGCCCTCTGCTTCAGAGCATAAGCAGATATTCTCTGGCTGCTCCCTGTCTGTTTACTGCATGGTGAGGAAAAATCCTTAACACTGGCTATTATTGCGAGAACCGAATGGTCATATAAAAAAATCACAAACAGGACAAAATGGACTTTCTATCCTGGTGGTGACTGAGGCAAGGACTTCTATAAGCCTCCAGGTGGAACGAGAAGTAGCCCTGATGGTCTACCTTCCCCACCTGTGCTGACATGAAGTCATGTCTATTACTCAGTTGTTTTTCTTTCTGTTCTGTTTTGCTTTTTCCTGCTCTTAGGTGAAGGAATGTAGCCAATTAAATAGTCCAACATGATGGAGACAGAAAAAACAGCCAAACCATGCATGCATTCAAGCCTTCTCATCTGCCAAATGGCATTTACCTTTCTCTCTTTCTCTCCCCACCTGGAAGCTTACAGCAGCCCTTCCTTCCGTCACCCACCAAGAAAGAGAGACGACTTGGACCTCTTTCTGCCTCTTTGTACACACACTCAGTATTAGCAATAATAACAGCAAATTAAAAGGTTTTTCTTGACTGTGCCATAAGCAGACAGAAAACAGCCACAGAATACCTGCGCACGCTCTGAAGTGGAGGGCAGGGGAGCCTTCCAGTCTACTCATTTGGAAACAGGTTCCCCAAACACCCCCGAGCATAATTTGGCAGCTTGCAGAAGAGATTGCTCTACTCGAATGACTAAACTCTCATTGTCTAGTATCCCTATTACATAGGAAGTTTGCTCTAAAACAGAACTCCTTCATTTTTGGAGGGTCATAGATTCCTTTGGTAGTCTAGTGAAGCCTATAGCCCCTTTCTCAGGATAATGTTTTTAATTGCATAGAGCAGATATATAAGATTATAAAGGAAACTAAATATATTTAAATATATGTATATATGCACAATAATCATATGCACAATATGTGCATATGTATACACATATACATGTATATACACATAGATACATACATCTGCATATACATACACACAGATACATATATATGCACATGCACATGCACATGTACACACATACACACATGTGTGTATGTATGTATGTGTGTATGAACAAATTCCTAGACCTTAGATTAGAACTCCTACTAGATCAGGCATAGTGACACATGCCTATAATTCCTACTACTAGAAGTTCAGTGAGCAGGTAGGTGGCACAGTGGATAGAGTGCTGGAGTAAGGAAGACAACCTCCTGAGTTTGAAACTGGCCTCACACACTTACTAACTGTGTGCCCTTGGGCAAGTCACTTAACCCTGTTTGCCTCAGTTCCCTCATCTACAAAATGAGCTGGAGAAGGAAATGGCAAACCACTCCAGTATTTTTGCCGAGAAAACCCAAATGGGGTCATGAAGAGTTAAACACAACTGAAACAACTAAACATCTAGAGGTAGAGACTAGTGACTCACTTGCATTCAGGAGTTGTGAGCTGCCATAGGGCTAAAGTTGATCAGATGTCTGCCCTATGTCTGACACCAATATGGTGAGCCCCTTGGAGCCACCATCAGCCCTTGTTGGAAGCAGAGTAGGTCAAAGCTTCTGTGCTGATCTGCAGCAGGATTGGATCAGTGAATGGCCTCTCCACTTTTACCCTGGGCAAGATAAGAAAACCCAGTCTCAGCCCCCTCCCCAAACCCTAAGATATGCATATTCATATTACATACACACATATCTACACACAGACAACAATAACAAAACAAAAACCCCCGCCATACATGTATATCCATATTACATATATATGTGTGTATGTATACATTTATATATGTGTATGTATGTATATATGAATGTGTGCATGCCTATGCATATTTATGTATAACTAACTATATTACAAGTAAGGACTTTATTTCTTTCAAGATCTTTGTATATTAGAAATTTGTTCCCTTGCTCTATATAATCTGAGTTAGTATTTCACATGTAGAATGCCAAAGGGGAAAATAAAATCACAAACACTTCCATGCAGCCTTTGATCCCTCATCTAAGGGAATAACCCAAGGCCCTTCTTCTGGTATTTGCCTGATAATTTAAGAGCCAGACCCTGGGAAGATTTATGCTTGTAGTACTTGGAACATATCCTGTTAAGTATTAATTTTCCCTTGCTTTTTTGTTTTTGTTTTTTTTTTCCCTCCCTCTAAAACCAGCTGAGGTTTCTCCCTGTTCTTTACCCAACAATAACTGCAGAGATAAAGTACACATCTGGGCCCAGAAAGACCCCATAGTAATGTGCATTTTAGATAAGACCCTCCATATCCTCCTTGTTAGTCAACCTTGAATGAATCAGGAAATATTCCACCTTCCTCCTCTCTTCCCCCCTCAACCAATTACTGAGCTCAAAGTTTCCAAAGCATAGATCTGAAAGCAAAGGCAGCAGATAACACTCTGCTCCTCATTAATCAATATCTTGGAACTCTTTAAAAGGAGAGAGCGTCTCCAAGACATGTTAGAGATAGTACTTTTTCCTTATAAAAAGGAAAGAGTGGGAAGCCAGCTTTGGGGCTGCCATACCACACCCTCAATTTGGATGCAGAATTGATAGAATGCAGTGTCCTGCTCCCAAATCCACTTCTACATCAGTTAGCTGTATAAATAATCCTTTAAAATCTTTTGTTAGTTATGTAAGTCTTGTGCATGGGTCTTTTCCTCCTCCCCCAGTGCAGATGCTGTCACATGATCGCCCATTTGGAGAGGCCTTTGTTACCCAAGGTAGTAACTCACACAGAGTCCTCAGGTGGTAAATGCTCCCTAATTTGATGTTATATCTTCCATCTCCATAGTTTTGCATAAGGAGTCCCTCTGGTCTGAAATACCCCTTCTCTTCACCTCAACCTCTTGGAATCCTTAAGTTCCTTTGAGTCCCACCCTGAGCACTAACTCCTACACAAGAATGGCATATCCCTATTCCCCCTTCACATATGATTAATTACTACTGTCCCCATCTCCCACTTCAGATTACTTTGTATTTTTCGTCTAGGTTTGTACTTAGCTTTCTGTGTATACTTTACCTGCCATACCTCTACTCCCAAAGAATGTAAATGCCTTAAAGGCAAAAATAGTTTTATTGCTATCTTTTTATCAGCACCTAGAAAGCACCTATTATGTAATAGGCATTATTTAACAAATGCTTGTTGATTGAACTAATCTCTTTGCAAATCTTAAAGCACTATACATGTCATTTATTATTACTATTATTTCTAGAATTAAAAAATCTTAGAGATTTTAGAAGTCATCTAATCTACCCCATTTAAGAGGCAGCCAGTGGATAGAGTGTTGGATTTAGAGTCAGGAACACAGATTTAAGTTCAAATCTTTCCTCAGAGACAGTGTGACCCTGGACAGGTCAATTAACTTCTACTAGCTTCAGTTTCATCATCTGCAAAATGAAGGTGATAATAATAGTACCTAGATGAAGGAATATTGTGAGGACCAAATGAGATACTCTAGGTAAAGTGCTTTGCAGACTTTTAAATTGCTGTTAAAATGCTAGCTATTACTATTTTTATTAAGCTAAGGAGACAAAATTCAGAGAGGGGATGTGATTTGTCAAAGCTGATATGGATAGGTAAATTCCCGGTCCTTCCCCATTTCCACAGTGGCATCCTGAAGCCTGCCATCGGTTTCTACAAGTCTCCCCACTAGAAGATCCTGAGTTAGAGGTCATGCAGTGCTTATATCAGCCATCCACTACACTCTGATGGGCATAGACCCAGCCATATGGTAAGGTTAAGAGCAGACCACATAGGATGATGTATAGAAGGGGGGGATTTTCCTTATGTTACAATTTAGGGACTACTTTTCTTATTAAAATTTCATTTACTTTTGCATCTTTCACAGAGGAACTTCACAGATGCTCACTCAGTGGTCTTGATAAATGACCGATTAGCCAATAAGACCATCTCAAAGACTTTAAAAAGTGAAATCAAAGTCCATACATCTGAGATACAAGTTGGGTGTTTAATTGATAGTTTAAGGATGTGGTTACCTGGCAATTTAACTTGCTCCACACTTCACATTTTATAACATTAGTCCTTATGCCAATTCAGCTTCCAAAATTAATTTTTAAAAGATTTAGATTGTTTACTTGTGTATTTTATTAGGTTTAGGAACTTCATCT